TTACAAAATTATTAGATATTTTTAAAAAACATTTTTTGCTATTTAAAATTAAAATTTGAAGAAACCTTCTGAAAAATGTCTCTGAGAATCAGTACTGGTGTACAGAAGATAAGCCGCTATAGGATCTGAACCCAGAACAATATTTCTTGACTATTGCTGATTTTGGAAATAGGGTTTTTAAAAATCCCTTGAAGCAACTGATATTCAAATCCACAACTCTGGTTAATTTATCAGATACCTATAGGGGAAGGTGACCCAGAAGTTAGAATTACTATCTGAACAGCAAATGATGCAGAGTAATCAGATATAATGTTGTTAAAAACTCCCTCAGGCTCCAGGTATGCGTGCTGCTGTCTCCATGCACTTGAGAACACTTGCTAGGCTATTGCTGGTTACCTGAATATTCAGCCCTAATAGCAGGTTGTAAACTAGTTCCTATCACTTCTATTAAGGCATGTCCTTTGTCCCTCATAGGAATACCCAAGGAGACAGGGAGACCTTCTGGAGAGTCCAAGTACCTGCTAGAAGACCTACCATAAGGTACAGGATGGCTTGTTCCATATCAGACATCCAAATTTACTCATGAAAGAAGATTTAAGGATGAAAGAATATTCTTTTTCTTCAAAATAAAAGAAATGTGTCACAGTGGAATGAATTACAGGATGATAAAACCAGAACATTATTATTCATCTCCTACAACATAATCTCTCACTGCTTCAGTGTTTCAGATAACTTCCACTACTTCCTTCGAGTTAAAATAGCATCTCCATGTAAAAAACTCAAATTGAAGTCTCTGTTGACAGAGCTGCCTAAACAAGTTAGTGATATCATCTTCTCACGCCTGCTTTGTCTTGTGAAAAATACCCCAAAACAAAACCATAGCACAAAAGCCATGCCCCTTTTCTGGTGCCGTCTCAAGCTAAGTTCTGGCTTTGCGTGCTTCTTGCTTCTTTCATGTAAGTTGGACATCACATAGTATTGCAGTGCTTAACTTTTCCTTCCTTGTTACATTTTGGACTACTGTTTCTATTGTGTTAATTGAATTAGCACATTTGTAGCATCAGGTTGCTTTCATAATACTGACTGCTGATGGGAAATTATTAGACATCACGTTGGGGAAAATATCGAACGAGTTACCCTCTGATTAGATTAGTAATTATTTTCTTTCTCTGCATGTCATATAAAGACTAAACATGATGCTATAAACTATGAAAGCAGGAATTTTCGGTACCAGCCACTTCTCCCCCAGTCCTCTCTCTTCTCTCTATTTTTTCTGCAAAGACCTGGCTTTAAAGTCTCAATGGTGAGAAAATTACAAAAAGTAAAGCAGTAATGTAAGTAACAAGCAAAATTTAAAAATTCAGTTACTTGGCTGATTTTTGTCATGTAAAGGTGGAACTATGCAAGCACTTGTTTTCACTCAGATTAGATTTTAGACAGTATCTGATCAATTTGGGCATAAGGATAATCCAGCTGAGTCCAAGGACAATGTCTGCAAGGTCTGAAACTTGGCTGAAGGTTGCTGAAGAAGCTGCAGCAATGGACAGAAATCTCTCTGCAACAAGAAATGTCAATTATTCTGTTTGCTCGACCTCCAGTACACTGCAACACGAGGGAGTCTCAATTCTATTGGCACTGCTACAGTACAAATAAAAATAATAGGAATAAAAGTTCTTCAGGTTGCAAGGTTGAAACATCTGTTTCTGTGCCAGTTCTATTTCTCCATCTCTGCATAGGAAACCAGCTGAGAAGATAAAATCCTTTTATGCCTCAAGAGGAGTTGACCACCTACAGATGCAGAGAGAAACTTTCTGACTGTGCTCACATTGAGTTGACTCTAAAGGAACAGGCAATCTCATTTAAGGACTCTATGGCTGTTAAAAACCATGAGCAAATCTTGGGGTTTTCTTCACTTTCCTAAAAAGTAAAATGGATTCCATGCAAAAAAATAGTTCCATCTTCTCTCCTACCTCCCCATTTTGTATTAATCAATGGTACATGTGGAAAGAAAGAATGGATTTGTGATTGGGATACATTTTCAAGGATGAGTTCTGTCCTCAGACAGAGGTAAATGAGGTAAATGTGTGTAAGTCTCTGCAGAAATTTAGAGTAGTAATACTTCTGGAGTCATCTTTCTCTCAGATTTTCCGATGGCTTCTCTCCCTGCATTGCTCCCATTCCTACGTTATTCCCTTGCATTGCCTGAGATTCACTGATGTACCTGAATTGCTGCCACTGAGTTCCTGTGCTTCTGCTTCTCTTACAGTCATATTTGGGAAGCTCTCCAAAGAGTTAACTTTTTTGTTTCTACTACCTGTTCACTATCATTTGTAAAGATTTGACGGTGAAGTGGTGCTGTCACTTGAGCAGTATAGCATTGCCTTCTCATTAGATTATTGATGGTTTTCTGGGGAATTGAGACATAAACACAGCATCAAGGATGAGCTTTTATTGTTGTCACAGAACCTGCCCTGAAGTAAAATCATCTACTTCCCAGCTGGCTTCCAGCTCCACTTGTTTATAATTTTTCACCTGCTGTTAAAACTTTGAGATGTATTCCTATTTCACTCAATCATATCTTTTATTTTTTTCCCCTGTTGTTCCTTGTATTTTAGCACTTTTGGCAAGGGAAGCACAGCAAAAACAATGCACATTTATTTAATCTGGCAAGAATTAAGGGTTCAGGAAAACCTGGTGTTTCTCTGGCCATCAAGGTGTCCTGTGCCCTTATCTTCAGAGTCAGCTGTAAGTTGCTTTCAAGCATGTTATTTTGAAGTTTTGGGTCTGTAATTCTTTACTGTTTGTGCAAGAATGAGAGCCGCATTTCAGGATATGCTCCATGTGAATTTATAAACAATGCATTGCAATTATGGCAGACTATTTTATGTGGAATAATAGAGCTTGATTTCACTCCATCTATGTGCAATGCTGCATAAAGTGAGAAGGGCAGCAGTGTGAAATTGGTGGAGAAGATCAAACAACAGAAGCAGACCCACTGAAGTTATTAACTAATAGAATTAAGTTGCTTTTCTATTGCTATTCTATTTAATCTGCTTCCTTACAGGCAATGATAAATTGTTCTCATTGTATATTTGCGAGTGTTTAACCAAATACAGCCAAAAAAGGCTGCCAAATATCCCTGTGCTTGTAGGAACACTGTTTCCAGGGGGATTCAAGATATTTTGCGTAGATTTGTTGGCTTTGGGAATTTTTGTATTTTGATCAAACTTTCATTTTCTAACTTTATTCTCCATACTTAGGTTGTGCAGAATCTTTGGTGCCATAAACACTTCGGATAACATCAGGCTTTGGCTATTTGGTAGTGTTACCTGAAGTCAATACCGTCTAGGTGTCATAGATATTTTAGGCCATTTTTCCGAACTTCTATTTCTGAATGATGCTATTTTTAAATTCTGCTGGAATTTTACAGTTAATGAAATCTGGACTTGCAGTCCCACACGATCAAAATCAAGATGGATTCATAAACTGCTGAAAGGCAGAAATGTCTGTATGATCTCAATGAGAAAAAAATCTCTTCATTGCTTTTCTTTAAAATTGAGTTTCTTGTATATATGAACCCTACAAGCAGTAATAATTATGTGCCTTTGATGTCCTACTTGGTTTTTCAAAGCTATAGCACTGCACAGCAAACAACATTATGGGTCTCATGAATTCATTTATGTTTTCATATGTGAACAGAGTAGGGTTTCACAGAATGACAGAATTATTGAAACCTCTGTGGTCATCAAGTCCAGCCTATGACCTAACACTACCACACTGGCTAGACCATGGCACTAAGTGCACATCCAGCCTTTCCTTAAACACTTCCAGGGATGGTGACTCCAGCACCTCCCTAGGCAGTCCATTCCAATGCCAGTGACTTCTGTTGAACTCCAAGAGAGGAAGTGTTTAGGACAGTATGAAAATCTCTTATGTTGGAAGTGAGTCATGTTCTGAGCAGCTAGAAACTCCCCCAGGCATGGGTCCCAGCTTGGAGGAGGTGATGTGCACTCTGTGAGAACCAGCAGAGACTCAGCTCAGCCAAACTCCAGAAGCTCAAGCAGCAGAGACTGCAATGGCTGCCTCTGCCAGCTCCCGTAGTTGTCTGTGTGCTGTCACAAGTGCTTTTTCACATGTGAATCATTCACAGATGTCCTGAGTTCAGGGAAGCCGACTGTTCTCTCCTCCTCTGCATTATCTGTTAGATGCTGCTGTTTCTCCTCATTTTTCAGGTTTTCCTATCTGCACTCTATGTCTTGCACCCACCTCTTTGGCCTCGCTGAGTTTTGTTCTCCAAGTCCTCCTCTTCCTGCTTTTCATTCTACTTTTCTAAGAGAACCTTTTTTGGTGCAGTGAACATCCCTCTTCTCTGCATCTCTTAAAATCATACTGTGGCCAGCCCCAAACATTTTAAAAGATTGGATTCGTTCCATCAGCATGTCTGACAACTGAATGGGTTTGTAGTTTTCTAATGTTTAAATCTAATGAAGCTTCAAGTGGGACTAAGGGACAATGTATTTTTGTATGTTTTCCATATCTACTTCTCCTTCCCAGACTTAGAAAAATAATTCAGTCCCAGTACTTTCCTTTCATTGGCTCAATCTAGTAAAATTCTGTGGAGTGGAAAAGAATTCTGGATCTCAGCATTTCCCCCTTTCCACTATCTTCTCCTAGCTCATCTCATGAATGGAAAAATCCATGAGAAATAAGCAAGTGGAAACTGAGGCTGTGAACCTAGTTGAGTGATCATTTCAGGATCTCAGAGCTTCAGGTCATTTTTCCTTCCTTGAGCATGGATAATTAGATAGGGAATGCGCAAAGCCAGCTATCTGTCTAAAGCTAAGTCATGGGAGCAGAAGAGGAGGTTTACATAGTCCAGTTGCCAGATGCTTGTGGTCATGCTGCACTCAAAAACCCTGTAGCATGATATCTGTAGTTAAATCAGAGAAGGAAAAAGTGAGTTGTTACCTCCCAAACCAGAGGGACATTTACAAAAGTACCCATCCACACTGTCCATGCATGTTCCACTGCCGCAGGGGTTTGATTTGCAGTCATTAGTATCTTCCTGGCAAAATTCTCCATCAAATCCATTTGGACATAGGCACAGGTATTCACCAAGGCCTGGAGGGAATTTAATGTTGGTAACACAAGTTCCACCATGGAGGCAGCTGCAGGGCTTCACTCTAACCTGAGGAAGGCAAAAGGGAGTCATGGTAAGGTTAATCTGAATAGTTGCACCTGAAATGTGTATTGTTACTCTTTTAGGAAGGGACAAATTTGCAGTGCAATCTCGTTATCTATTACTATGAAAATATTGCTGATCAATTTCCTTTGTCTAGATAGATGGTCTCATACTCAGCATACTTATTTATTTGAATGAAAGTTTGACTTTAAAGGACTTTTTTTCATCATTTAGGGGCACATTCTAACTTCTTATAACAAAAAAAAATCCTATTTGCTATAACAGCAGTTTTTACATAGTATCTGTGGGCAGAATTTGTTCCTTATTCTTCAAAGAAGAAATGAAAAATCTTTTCTCTTTGCCTGGCTGCCCTCCTTGCTGTTTCATAGTACAAATGGCTCCCAGGCAGGAACATGACTGTGGAATTCCTCTTCAGGGAAGAGCTCTGTAGTTTTATTTTACGTATGTACAAGAACAGCATTTCAGCAGATCCAAACCTCTGTGTTATCTCATCTAGTTAAACATAGGTCTAGTTTCAAATGTTTCCATTAAAACTATATCTAGGCTCCAGTTTCCCCTTTGCTTCGTGGGTCCAGCACTTTGGTATTTTTGATGATAATTGTTTGAATGAGTAAAAATAGGAATTTTTGGGAATAGAAATATTTTCTTCACAAAATTCTTCTTATGTCAAGAGTCTGCATCCTACTTTATTAGCTCATCCTATCACAGGATTAATGTTAGGCTATACAATAAAGAAAAAGCAATACCTAAGCTCTGCCAAGAAACTTAAAGTATGGAGTAATGACATAAGAGCAAGACACCCTCTAAAAATATCATTGAGGATGAGTTATAATCTCCCTTTTATAGCTAAAACTCGGTCTTTTATGTTATATGCTTTTTTCTGCAATCCAAATGCAGAATGTGAATTTTAAAGCAGATTAATGAACCATTAAAAGGCTCTGCAAGAGTGTTCTTTCAAACAGCAATCAATAGCACTCTCTCTTGTTCCTTGTATATATGGTTTCTATGTTCTCAGAGGTATTTATTCCATTAATTGATCATTATTGCTGTGCTGGATAATATACACTTATGAGGAAAGAGCTGAAGCCTTAGTTTTCATGACAGTAACAAATTATTAGCTATAATGACAATTGTACCAGAGCGATGACATGATAAACAGGTTTGTTTTGGTTTTTTCCTTTAAAACATTCATTTCCTTACCTCAATAGAGTATCTGCTCTGTGCATTGCATTCATCCGACACAGTGAATTCAAAGGTCTGCGTTTCTTCTGAATCGACTTTCCAGATCAGAAGGCCGGCAGGAGAAAGCCTGGCATCCTGTGGCCCAGCCTCTAGGATGAATAGCACAGCTGACCCTTCCGGATCCACTGCGATTAGCTGGTAAACAAAATTCTCACCAATAAATGTCAGCAGCTGGCTGGAGGGGGCCTGGAACACAGGAGGCAGGTTGTCTAAACAGCAAAAATGAAACCATGATTACAGAAATTCCAGTTTCTCCCATGTACAGATTCACAGCACTGGTCTTTGTAAAAGTGCTCTCAAAGGAAAAGATACAATATGTACCCTGACACAGACAGAGGAAGCAATTTAGGTGTCAGAGGGGGCGTATGGCTTTACCAAAAACTGTATCTTTTTCCTCCTATCTTTCTCCCATACTGAAATTTTATTACTTCTGATGTGTTATCTGATACACGGGAAGAGATCAGACATGACTTCTATAACTTCCCACTAGTCCCCCAATTCTTATTAAAACTTTAATAAGTGGTATTTCTAATACTTACGTATATATGTATTCTATCTACCACTCTACCTATCTATCAATTTAAATATAAGCAAACTCATTCTCAAAATGGTGAATGACAAATAAATTGGGTGGACCACTCAGGGGAAAAAAAAAAGAAAAAATAAAGTTGTGTAACTCCAACTGAGTAGACTCTCCTGCCTTCACACAGGGGTAATAATTAAGCCTGAGCAGTCTGATTGAATTCAGGTGGACATTTATCAGGAATAAAGGTCTTGTCAGTGTCAGCAGAGGTGCATCAATGCTGCTGAGACTCTCTATCCCTAGTGACTGCAGTGTATGTTATGGTAACACTGGTGGTGTTATTTCTAGTGTTACTGTTTACATTCAATATTTCCTTAATAAAGGTAAAAGCCCAATTGTACTAGGCTATTTTACAGTAGAAGACAAATGCTGCCTGAAGATGTTTATGATATAAATAGGTAAGGAAGACAAGGTAAAGTATTACATTTCAGAATTAGACGCAAATGAAAAGTAAGATGGGATGAGGACCCTGAGGTGACTCCTTTTACCAGCAGTATGAATTGGTATGTATTAATGCTTAAAGAAATCTTCTTACAATGTAATTTGGCCATAGTTATGTTTAACTTAAAGAACATTTTAATACTGAGGATTAATTTCAAGTCACACTCTAAAACTATGAACTATAAGTGTGTTCTCATAAGGACTGCACGTATCCTTACATTATGCTGGTGGGAAGTAATCATTAGGGGTTTTTTCGTGGTGCATACCCTTTTATCAAGCTTTGCTTTCCATAGTGCATCTCCCATTATGCAGTTATTTAAATGTCTCTTTACTTATTGCTGCTATGCTATGAGAACTTTCTAAACTGCTTGTCCAGCAGATTGTCCTAGCATAACTGGTGAAAGCTTCCATCTATTAATTTACTTTTTATTTCCCAAACACTTAAACCATGAAGCCAATAAAAGTTGGGCCCAAAGTAATCAATGAAATATTGATGCTGGGGATGCATTTACAGATAAACACAAATGTGTTAACTGGATGGATGGTAATGAGCAGTCGTAGGTACAAAATCATGTAAGTTCTGAAAGTAGTCTGTGAACAAGAGTGTTTCTAATTCCAGAGAGACTTCCTTCCCATCCTCTGAATACATATACACACTCCCAACTATTGCAATACTTTTAACAAGGTTTTTTGCAGTTTTGAAAGCAAGTCTGACAAACCTTTACTTTTCAATAATTTTAAATTTTGGAATTATTGAAAAGTGAACTGTGACATGTTTCAGATTTCCCAAATCAATTCTAGCTTTATAAATTCCAAAACTATGCAGTTTTTCCCTTTTAAGCCACTTTCTGAATTTTAAAATTGAACTGTCTCGATGTTGGTAATGAATTTGTCTATATAACAATCAGGATCAGCTCATCCCTAGAGATGCTACTGCTGTGGCCTACACAATGGAAGGACAGAAAGGAGGCAAAGTGTGTGAGTCACAGATAATATCTCTCATTAAACTAAACCATATCCTTGGGGAAAAAAGATCACACTTTCAGGTGTAGAAGCTCTTCTTCAGATTTGGCTTACCATTAGGCATTTTAACTACTCATCCAAATAACATGCAATGGGATTTTTAGTTGGCCAACACTTAAGATGGATCTGCTGACGTTTTTTTTCCTGACAAGGAGTTTCAAATTCCAAAAGTTAGATTTTTTTAGGACATAAACCAGAGGTGTAAGTTTTTAAATAGAGAAAATTCGAAGTGGCTGGGCTAAAGGAATATAAAACTGCAAGCGAAGCAAACTGTTCCTGTCACTCACATACCTTTCTGTAATTTGCTTGTGTTTACAGAACCTGAAAGTGCAGAGAAACTCTTTCTAGAACCAGCACATGAATCCACATAAAAGTGGTAATATAATCTTTATATTGACCAGATGTAAATGTGCTCATGTAACCGGGGAGATGTTCTATGAGGATAATGCTGCTTAGAGACGTGGATGATGTATAAAGCAAGCGGTAAGTAATAGCTGTTGTTTACACGGGGGATGTAGCCATGAAAAAGCTGTGATTAAGTCCCCAGCATTCAGGAGGTGCTTCAAAAAGCAGCCCTCTCCTCAACCCCTGCCACGATGGGCTGCGGAAGGAGCATTTAGGTTGCGTGGCAGGGAAGGTAATCAGTGGCTGCTCCCTATCACTTAGACTCCCTGCCAAGACAAGGTCTTTCGTGTGGCATTTCATAGGATTTGGCTCAGGGAAAGAAAACAATTCTTCCAGGTACCAAAAATACACATTAGTGTTCTAAAAGCAGTGTTTTCCCGAAATTGTTACCTTAAAGATTTGTACCTGGGGGATGATGACAGATGTATTTAGGGCCCATCACCTTTAGCTGACAGACTTGAGCACTGCATGGGACACTGGCATACTGACAATTTCACTTTCAGGCATTATTTTGGTTTTATTAAGTTGAGATTTGTCACGTTTTAGCAAGATACATGCCCAGATGAACAGTGCACACAGTGGAGCACTGTCTTCTTCTGGTCAATCTGCATTTCTGGTGCACTCAATTATTCCCATTGCAAACTGCCCACTTGCGCTATTATGCAGGATAGATCCATGTTAGCCAAATGAAGGAACCATGTATTTCATAGACCGAACCATAAATTAAGAGCTAAGTGCTTCTGAATCTTAGAAAAAACTGTCTTACTTTCATTAATGGACCAGGTGAACTTAGAAATGTCAGGTTCACAGAGAAGACAAGGACTGGTAGGGCTTGACTCTCCTTCAGCGTAGCAAAGTCCATCTATATTACAAGTATTTTCCTGCCAAAAAAAGGGAAATAAAACCAGGTGGGAGGTGGAGGTAAGGGAAAAAAAGAAAAAAGAAAGATAAGAAACTAGCAGTTACTAATTTCTGTAAATAAGCAGAAACTCGCTTGTCTCTTGAAATAATAAAGTAATAGCAATGTAAATGCTGGCACTTTCTCTCAGCAAGGAGAAAAGAAGACATGTATGTTTTCCTACTCTCCAGCATGAGATCGTTGTAGCTGAGAATGTTTTAGCTTAGGCAGCATGTGATGTTGCATGTTATGGATGAATGCAACAGAATGTGAATGTTGGGGTTTTTTAATTTCCACACTTACGTAGTGTGTTTGATCATTATTCTCAGCTGTGACTACTAATATGATGATTATTAGGTGAGGTTCAAAGGTGAGCTCTGCGAGATTAACAAAAACTGAGACTGGATAAAAGCTCTGTTTGAAATTTTGGAATCCTGTTCTGGTAACTTAATTATTTCTGAAGGTTCTTCATAAAAATAAAAAAAAAAAGCAATGGTATAAAAGCAGAATAAAGAAGTGCATTAGATTTTAGGCTTCCATGAGATAGTCGTAAACAAGAGTTAAACACATTCATAGTGTGAAGGTTGGGCAGAACATCCCAGCAGAAGTTCATGCCCTTTGAGGCCACCCTGTCCTCTCCTAGTCAGGGTGACCATCAGGGCCAGGGAGACTCTGAGGCTTCTGAGTGGGCTGAAGACACTGGGGTTGTCTGAGAAACGAACACAGGGACATAATTAACGGATGTAATTAAACGTCAAGCCATGTGAAGGTCCTGTGGCAGAGTTATGTCTTTGGCTTGTAGCCTGTTTTGGGGCACACCTGCAGATGGGACTTTATCTGACACATGGAGCTCTGTTGGGACCACAGGGGAGGACACCTCCATAGCAGGACAGTAGGAGGGAGAAGCTACTGGGGCCAAAGATAATTTTCCGCATCACTCCACTGAACACACATTGCTTTTCTGAGACTGATGTGTGTCCTGTTACTGGCTTTCTGGTTTCTATCCACTGCTTTACAAATTTCTCAAACTTCCTTTCCAAAGTATATTAATCAATATTTTAAATAATAGCACTTTAATAGTAATGAGGAAGGTAGAGAAACAAAAAGAGCTCTCATAATTGCCCCAACATGATAGAACATGACAGACCATCAACATTAAAATCTGGATGTTAATTAGATTTTATTACATTGTTGTTTTCAAAGGCTTGACATTCTGATGAAAAATATGCTTTTTTTTTTTCTCTGATGTGATGATGTGGTACAGAACGGGCTCCATAAAAAAGGAACACAGAATGTGAAATGGCCTGATATAAAATGTCCCCTAATTGAAACACCTTTTCTGAAAGCAATTTAGATATTACAAAGTAATGTTACAAGAGGGGTAATTAGAATGTGGTCTGATGCAATTGGAAGCCTAGTTCAAATAGTCCCTGGAAGCATTTTAGGGTAGAAATTATTATAATCCCTAGAGAACACCAACGTATTTAGACAACATATGTATTTCTGAGTCTCAAAAAATGTAAGAGTAAGGAAAGTCTTTAACAAAATAAAGCACCCTAGCTTTAATTGCATGGGTTCTGACACAAATATTTTAATCTGAAGTTTAAGTGGTTTTGCCCTCATTTGGGCCTATAAAGTAATTTCTATTCACTGATTTATTTGAAAAACACGTGAACTTTCATTTTATTTTGGTAACTGATATGTTCTTGCAATCAGTGCAAGTTGGAAAACTATTTTCCCATTAATGTTAATGAGAACAGTGAGGCAAATGAGTTAAGATATACCTGATTAATCTTGATTTTATAAAAATGCAGACTGGTGGTCTCCTATTTATTTGTACTTGCCTCGGGGTAGGAAAGCAGGATCAGCACATTCAAACACCCCACCCAATATCCTCCGTAAGTTTCTTTTAAGGTCCCGTTGAAAAACAGAAAAGTTGTCTAACACAGCTGTCTAGAAATTAACAGCAGGGGAGCTCTTTTTAAGGGATGGGGAATGTTACACTAATAAGTCCATGGGAAAACAGGAGGTTATAGTGCTCTCCAGGCAGTCCCTAGCATATTGGCAATTTAAAATGTAGCACTAGACTTTTGATGACGGTTTTGAAACTGTCAAAGTACTATATGTTTGTACTTACCAGTGGTTAATGTAAGCAAAAATGTTTTATGCTCTCTCTAGGGTGTTTTCACATGACAAAAACTGTACAATGTGCATCTTGGTATACGTCTTGCTATGGCAGAAAATGGGTATAGAAATGATATACCTTACGGCTACAGTGCCCTCACCAAACAGGTTAGGAGAGGTAAAATCACTTTCTGGCAGAGGCATTTCAAAATTTGGATACTCCTCAGTCTTATTTACTTCCATTAACAGCTGCAAAGTATAAATATTGGGATATTTCTGGATGTGTCTGTCTGTCTGTGGAAGGTCCATCACAAAGCATACTCTGTCAGGTACTCATAACCCATGTAAATATGAAAAAAAACATAAAATATCATCGACAGGAGATTGTGAAAGAGAAAAAAGAAGTGTGAGCCTGTGCAGCTGACCTATGAAACAGATTTTCCTCTTTGAAAGCTGTTATAACACACAGTACATCAAAGGGAGGGAGCAGGCTAGGGAAGAGACGAACGATCCATATTAAACCTTTACGCTCTTTAAATTACCTTTAATTTACAAAGTCCGGTTGGATGGAATTGGCAGGCCTGGCAGACTGCGTCGTAGAGGGTCAGCACTCTGGAATTACTGTACTGGAAGCCATCGTTAGTGATCTAAATGATACAAAAATCATCCTTATAAGTAATAATGTTCCATATGGAGACTGTCTGCTCATTTCAGAGCATATACCGTTGCCCCCTTGAACTGAATGCTTGCCAGCAAGATAAATTAAACCACTTGTGAGTGGCTCTACTGCAAGCTAACAAATTGCTTAATGCTCCAAACTGGAAACTATTCATTAATAACCAAAAGATCTTTTGGCTCCACTGACATTCAACTTTTCTGATTGCTATTAGGGTTTTTTTCAGAGGATTTTTTCCAATATCCTTATGGAAACATTAGGCACTCAAGTAATACAAGGGGGTCTTTCAAGGAGTTGTGAAATGAAATTAAGATTTTTGGCTGAAATTCAGGACCACATATTATTTAGGATGTTTTAAATTAACCTTAAAAAAAAAGTGCTAGAGTGGATAATACCAGAGAGCAAAATGCTTACTTAATAAGAAAGGGTTCAGTGAGTTTATATTTTAATTCTTTTACAACAAAAATGAAAAGATAGCAGACTAGTGTAGAAAAGGTTAAATTTTGAGAAAGTGTTGTGACACCTTTTGAGATGTGTGAGCATTAAAGAGCACCCCAAAATACTGCTGAAAGCCATGCTGTAAACAATGATGAACACCGGCACAAAAGCAAAGCCCTTTCTGTCAGGTATTTTTTTAGGTTCTGACTTCTTACAGCCAAACTAAAGCCGTTGTTTAGCCTTTGCTTTGGATCAGTCAAGTGCCTGTTCTGTCCTCTCACTATAAAAACAACCCCAAAGACCTCCTCCATCTCTCCTGTGGCCCCAAAGCTGAAACACCCTCAGTCCCTTTACAAAGGACTTTTATGAGGGCAAGAGTCTAGTTTTTTGGTCAATTAATAAGCTATTCCAGTTCACAGAAAGAATGTATGTGAAACTGAACAAAGACAACTGGAAGTGCACAGAGTTAAAAATTAATAAGTTTCATAAAAAGCATCAATTATCTTAAGTCCATTAAGAATGATGTGAAAGCTCATGGATCACGGTACAGTAGATACACCCACAATATCTCATGTGATGGTTCTTAGCTCAAAATGCAGTGTGAGTTAAAAGCATTTGTTTCTGCAGAAGCATAAGGAGTTAAAGAGGCAGTATTTGTGGATATTCACAATTTGAAATTGCAGAAGAGAAACAACTTCAGATTAATTAAAGTTGGTCAAAAATTTCACTAGAATTCCTTGGTCCAGTAAAATTCACTGGTATAGCTTTAAGGAAAAAAAAAATTCCCATGCCACATATTCAGTTGAGTTATTAGACTATTGTATGTTATACTAAGGGTAAAAACTCTTTTAAAAAAACTAAAGAACTTACACCGAAGTTTGAGAAGAGAAAAAAATAAAACATGCGACACCCTTCAAGACCTGCTCTTCACTGAAAGACAGTGCTTGTTGGCAGCAAGACTTCCATTAAGAATATATTATTCCTAATGCAATTTGCATTTCATTTCATTACATTCTTTTATCACAGGTCCAATGTTGTCTCAGTACCGGTGCACTAATAATGGGTGAAGAAATGGGTAGACAGGGAAGAATATAAAAAGCCATAGAATTTCACTAATTGTTCTGTCTGAAGTGAGCACCGCGAGTGAAATGTAACTCTTTGCCAATTTGATTTTTTTTAATCTGTATTTTTTCTACCTTCTATTATAAACATCCATTTTGATGTCTTTTTAGAACTGGGTTGTTTTATAGCTATTTTAATTGCTTTTCCATTAGTCACCTTAGTGATGTGGAACAAATACTTCAATGAGACCTAAGCTGAGCAAACCTCTCTTCAAATTTGGTTGGCCCTTAAAAGCCAAAGATGTGCTTAGCATTGTGCCTTGATTGCTTGAGCATTCACATAATCTGGGAAGAAAGAACCACTTCTTCTGGATAAGCAGTCAGGACAATCAGGAGGTCTATCACTTGGTTCATCATGAAGCAATCTTGCCTATTTGTATCACTCATAATCTACATAAAATTTGACTTGTGCGAATGTTTGTAAATGAAAAATGAAAGCTGTAAAAAACTGGCTGAATTCAAATTCAGTTTCTGCCTCACTGACTTTTTAACAAATATTTTTTTTTCTGCTTTTGAAAAATACAGGCAATGATAATGAACAGAGGATAAGCGAGAAACCTGCTTCCCAAATTAGAGAAGTACCCGCCAAGCTCTTTCACCTCTTCACCCAGACATCTATGTGGACTTCCCAAGTCATCTGCTGCCCGGGTAGGAATTTGTATTTTGATATCTAAACTAATTATACCAAACGCTCTGGTGTAGCACCATGTACTTTCTTATCTGTGTTCGGCAGCATGTCATGGAAAGAATGAGCAAAATCTGAAACATGAATACAAGAGCAGATAAAATGAAAGAGCACTGAGAAGAGCTTGTCAAGCTCATGTTCTTGCAACATTGGTAGTCAAAAAAGATTATGTGAAACTTTGCTGATTCCTCTGAAATTTGATTTGGGAGGGGAGAGAGATTCTGAAAACATTGAACAGCGACATTTGCAGAAAGAATTATTTTGATTTTTGGTTCTGAAAAGTCTTTTACCTACATTTTGGAAAGCATCTATTAACATAACCCAGAAGATCAATGTTGCAGGAAGTGCTATCAGGAGTTTTCCGGAGCATGATTTTTTGAACATTGGTGGAATTAGTTTCAAATCATTTTTTATCTTGAAAAGCTTTGTTGTTTTGTTCTCTGTGCCACTGTGTAAGGCCAGCTGCCTTTGAAACCAAGTGCTGAGCTCTGCCTTCCCAATTTGATCAGCACAAACATCCACAGGAGAGCCAGGATTCGAATGCGGACTGAGACAGTTTAATTGTGTGATTGCTTCATAGCCATCAACCTGGTTTTTCTGCAGGGTTTGAAGGAGAGGGAAAGGGCAGAAGGCTCACAGGTGCAGAGGTTTTCTTGAACTTAAGTGCAAGGAAAGAGACATTCTATGTGTGTTTTCAGGGGAAAAAAAAATGAGAAAAATAATACAGACCTCCTCAGGGCTGAAAGGCAGCACTTGAAAGGAAACTGCATTACAACACAGCTGACATGTGAGGAAGCTTTCCTACTTACACTGGAGAAAAAGCCCTGTGCACATGCAAAAATGTTAGCTGCCCTCTTGGGCCAGGAAACTCAAGACTGTTTCCTTCTCAGGTCTTTCCACAGTTGACAGAGTTCAGTATCTCCTTTGGGAAATTCTGGACCCCTAGGCGGGGGAAGTGCCCTCCAGGTTCAGCCTTGGTGTCTGCCCACTCTGATGGCTCCTTCTCCAGAAGGAAGTTGCAAGGTACACCCCAGTAGCCAATGTTCAGGCTCTGCTCCCACAGAGATCTTATACTAATGTCTTAAAACACAAATCCCTGCGGGACAGGCAGTAGCAGTGCAGAGAAGCAAGTGTGTTATGTGTTTCATTTTTACATGCTGCAATTTTCAAAGCACATCTGCAGTTTTCCTACAATGGCAATATGTTTTTCTCAGCTATAGAGCCTTTAGATGATCTCAGTCTTATAAAAACAACTGATCTTCAGAAAATAGCCATCCAGGCCAAGAGTGAGACTGAGGGTAGCAGGCACAGGGTCAGTAAGGCACTGATTTTCTGGAAATAATTAGAAAGTAGGAATCACTTTGTGAACAAAAGGGGCTAAAACCATAGCAGAGAACCCAGCATGAGCAAATACTGCACATGCTTCTTCCTGCAGTCATTCAAGACCATGACCATAACCAAAACTATGACTGGATGCCCAGGAGCCAGCCAGTGCTCTGCTCCTGCACTGCGCAAGCATCGGTCTTGCAACCAGAGAGTCAAAGCTGTCTCATACATGCTGCTTAATCAGGAATTGAAGCTGAGGTTTCCAGAAATGAAATACTAATGATTAGCAATTGATCTGCATCAATCTGCATCATTTTGAGATGATTACTTGGAGAAGTGATTGTAATTTGCACTGTTGGATTGCCTACAAAGACACCTGTTTTTAACTCACATTGTTTGGGTTGGTGCGGCTTTTTTCTTCCCTACGTGACATTAGTGTGAATATTTCTACAGGCATTTTCATTTCTGAAGGGAAGCAAATTGTTCTTTGCATTTTAATTTACCATGACAACTGATTTTCTCCTTCTAATACTTTCTTAGAGAAATAAGAATTCCTACTTTCACTTGCCATCTTGCAAACGGCTTGTCACCAGCCCCGAAGTGCACAGCCTCTGTCTCTGTAATGTTCAGGAGAGGAATCTGACAGTCAACAGCCTCAGAGCTGAGAAAATCTGCTTTTGTGGTTTCTTGTCCTCTTGGTATCCATTTGCCATTGAGATGCTACAGTAAAACAGAAGGGGAGTGCAGAAACTGAAGGCTCATATAAAGAAATTCCAGTTGTCAACATATGTTTATATTTCTAATTAATAATATAAGGCATTTCCAGATAGTTTATTTAAAATAAATGATACTGCAAAGAGCAAGTCATGCTTATCTATGCATGTGAGTGGTCTATGGATTTAGGAAGCGCTTCGAATGAGCAGCTGGGATGAGAGAGCATAATGTGGTAGAGCAACTTTTTGTTTGCTCCTGAAGCTCTGCAGCCAGGTCCTTGCTCCCTGAAGGTGATGCTCATACTTATTAGGATGTGCTCCACAAGACATCCCTGTTTGTTAAGAGCCTTTGAAGCCCTGAGTGGGCACCGTAGGTGAATCTCAGCTGTGCCTCATTAGCATGGTAGCACTGTTTGGCAATCAAGCTGAACGTCTTTTATGAGGTGGATTTATGAGATCAATCAAACCCTTTGTATCTGAGTATACTGATACACCAAGTAATTCAGTCCTAGCATTGCTCGTGTATAGATGTTTATAATAAAATTACAGTGATAACAGAAGAGATGGGTTTAATAGTCATTAAAACTTTTGACTTGGTATTGAAGTATGACAAAGAAAATTCAAATAACAGCCTCTGTAACTATGTTGAGGAAACCTTATATTTAACTACAAAACTTAGCAATCAAATGCATTTAGGAAAACCACCAAGCGTACCGATTCCAGATGCATAAAATGAGAAATAATATTGTGGTTTCAGGCTTCGCCAGTCTACAGTGCAGCTGAACCAAGCAGGAGTTAAAAAAAGCCCCACAAAGAGAATCAGCAAGAACACATAGCTGTGCATTTCCAAAGAATCAACCCTGGAAAGGGCTGAGTCTCTTTGGCTTCCCTCATCCATAGCAAATATATTGGCAATAGGATTCAAAGGTATTTGAACCCCGCTGTGGCAGTGAGAGATGATGGCACTCAGCAAGGTTCAGGGTAAAAGACTTTAATATAAACATGTCAAAGTTTGACTTTATCATCAATACTTTATGAACCCATGAGAAGTGGCTTACAATTAAACTCGTGACCTCGCAGCGCAGGTTGGGTGACTCTTTGAAGTTGAAGCCAAATACCCGGACCTTGGTGCAGTCGGAGGCTCGGAAGTCACAGAAACCCCCATTCTCCAAGCCTGTGATTTCCAAAGCTTGCTCTGAAAGAGTAAAATAGAGATAAAGCTTTAAAGAGTAACACTTACATGCTCTTCTGTTTTGGTTTATTGGAGATCGTGTTGTCGTTCCTCATTGCTTTGATTTAATTCTTTTCCTTGGGGTCTTCCTTGCTCCCCTGTGAATTTCTCTTGAGAATAGGAGCAGCAATTGTCAAAATGGGAAGCAGCAAACCTCTGCTGAATAATTGCCCTGTGCACCCAGTACTGCAAGTTCTATCAGTGAGCGTTATACGGCTCATGGAATCAAATAACTGAAGCTGTGACTTCTTGATAGAAGGTCTTTAGTGGTAATACTTCTGCTGACCCAAGGAACAGGGTAGGAGCACAGCTGAGAGGACAGTGTCGTGCCATAGGGTAGGTAAGCGTGAGGGGGAAGTGGAAGCACCTGAAAGATGATCATGATGTGAAATGACAGCACAAAAGATAGTCCTTTTTGCCAAAAAACTATGGATGCGATAAAGTAATGATCCTCAAAGGAATGCTTGCTTACGAGGGTTTAAGTCATTAATTGGTGGCACTCAGCTCTGCAGTGTCAGCAAAAATTTCATGCACCAGCTCAATTTCACCTAAATATGACTTAAGTGATGTACAGCCTGTGCTGCCCACCCTACTATGCTGAATTTCACCCATTGCTGTTTTTAAAATATTTTCTGATTATCAGGTAGATGCTCATTTGTATTCTGTGGTACTCTAGGCATTCACCATTTACAATTGCTCATTGCTTTCATATTGGACTTTATTTTACAGAGTCAAAATGCAAGTTCATTGGATGGCAGAATTCACATGTTTACTTTAGCAAAAATATAATTGAGCAGATATTTGCATCAGCTATTTTCCCTGTTATGTGGAGGGGAAAGGCTGCTTAGCTCTTCCTCTTCCTAGCCCCATCACCACTGCTTTAGCAAAGCAGTATTGTCCATCAGTTTTCCCTGAGCTGTAGCTTACCTAAAACAGAAGCTCTGTGTCACCTAATATTTTAATGTTACATTGGTTCAGCTTTGAATCAAGGAGTAAAGCGACATGAGCTGATGAGTTGAGCCCTTTAAGGCTCTGCCATTTAAGCTGTAACTGGGATGAATGCAGTTTAACCACTGCAATCCCACCAGATTGCAGCCCATGACAACATAGCTATGTAGCTCTTGTTTTCCCAGAGAAAGGAAGGAAAGCAACATAAATGTGAAAAAATAGCAAAAGGACTTTTTCCTGAGCTTCTGAAATCCTTTTAGATATTCTTTATTTTATTTTTTAATTGATTTTATTGCAAGCTGTATTAGCAGCACTGTTGGACACTTCGCAATATTTACAAGAGGAGAAATAGTTTACAGCTTATCAGCATTCATCAGTTAGCTGTGGTTTTCTGTAATGTACAAAACTATTAGTCAGATGTAGTGAATGGTTTTGATAAATTGCCTTCTTCTGTGGTTAGTGCATAAAAATCTAAAAGAAAAAATATGCTTCATTATGTTTTTCATGATATTTTAATAGTTAGCCCCCTAGTACTGAGGTAGCTGGGACTGCATTAACATTTTCATTATCATTGCAGATTTTCAGGCCTCCATGAGTATAGATCTCATAGTCTGGGAAGGAACGAGGCACAGGGGTGTGCTTCTGCAGCCATTCCTCTTCCAGGAAGTCACTCTCAGGTTGGTCTCTTGTTGATGAGCCCCATGTGCTTCCCTGAGGGTTTTCCTACATCTATACAAGCAACCTCCCTCCCAGTCCCTCTGCTTTAACCCCAGTAAGAGTTTGCAGGCAAGAATAGTAAGTTCAGAGCTGGTGACATTGCTGTCAGTGTGGTTTCTTTCTGTAAGTGTTTAAATGAGTCAAACCTGACAAGGAGCACAGGCTACATAATAGACTTAAAGAAACCTTGCATAAATGCATAACTGGTTTAATAGATATTTGTTGGAATGGATTTTGTAAACAATAAGTATGCGGAGATGTAGAAGTAAAATGGAGAGAGCTGACACAAACTCAAGAATGTTGCAAAATCACATTTATTGAAGTTTTACTGATGGATAGATACAGTTCATGTTGGGTTTCCACTTTTGATTAGAAAAATATCCTAGCACAAAGAAGCATCCTTTTGCAGTGCTTGAAAGCTACACATTTGACTTTGGGCTGGAGCAGCAGACCTGAAATTAAAACCGGCAAGAGTTTTGTTCAAATAAAGAGAAGGAAATGTTCTGCCCTGTTTTTCCTGATCAGGATGATAAATAAGCAACAGAAGTCATGAAAAGCAAATCAAGAACCAGATCATAAGTGCTGGATGTGATCACAGCTTTGCAGAAGTGCAAAAGAAAATTGTCTATATTGTCCAATTGCCCTGTTCTTGAAATCATTTAGCTGGTTGAACAAGCTGCTGTGCCAGAGCTTGCTGGTGTGGTTGAGGACAGCTGCATGCTGCAGCTATGAGGGGTCTGGATCAGGGCAGTGATGCTGAGTGATCTCTCAGCTTTGGCAGAGCAGGTCTGAATCTGCCTCCATTCAAACACACGTACACATATTGTATTTCTTTCTTTTGTATGCAGGATTATTTAATCTGTTGGGTTTTTTTCACAGTTATTGCATGGTATTCATAACCCAAAGCTCATTTGAAGATCTTCCCTAAGAAAAAGTGTAAGCAGCTGTATGCTGTTTGCCAGGATTTTTGCACAACATTGACCATCCCTTGAAAAAAAAGTGTTTGTCCCTGCTTCCAAAACCAGTTCTCAAAGAACCAGAGTTTGCCTTAGTACTGAACTATAGATGTGTACTATCTTTAGCTGACACAGAGTGAATCTGGTTTTCTGTTTTGAAGGTCTCCAGTACCCAGGATGGATTGCAGAAGTGAGCCCTGGGAGAGTATGGAAAAGGCATTTTGCAGGTTCTCACAGCATGGGAGAAATGGACTGGCTCAATTTCACACTGAAAGCGTCCATGTGCTGTTACAAAATGGGAGATTATTTTTTGCTTTAGAAGGCTCACTATGACATTTTATGTCTATTTGATCCTTCTACTTTTAAAAGGCTTGCTAGCAATTTACTTTAGCAATAGAAGGGAAGTGCTCAGTTAACTATAGAAGATTTCCTTTTTGCTAGATGGCCTGGATAGGTAGTAAAATGAAAGATCTGGCTGCACATTAATGTCATCTCAGTTTCAGTTCCTCAAAGGACAAGACCCCCAGCAGCCCCTCTGGCTCCCCATGAATGACTATCATGATGTCACTCAGAGGATTTGGGCAGGAGGTTGCTCATGGGTGGCATCATGGTCCTTATGTCCACACTAGTATCTACCTGGTTGTTTTTAGTCATCTTCCCAACTTCACAGTTACTGAATTGGAATAAAATCTGGTTATTACACTTGGGTTTTTATTGACAATTGATTGAAGATTCTGTACTGGTAGATTGTGGGTTCTTTACACAACATAAAGCGTCATATAAAGGTGTTATAGGTTTGCTCCGAATTTTTTGATTTGGTCAGTTTAAATCAGACATTTTGCAGGTTTTAATTCTATAGCTCATAAACTGTCACAAATTCGTTATTTATCCTGTGTGTGTGTGAGTATTTGAGGAAGGAAGTTGATTGTTCAGGGCTTTTTGTTTTGTTTTGGATTTAACAAGATTTAAGGCTGAAATTTCCTGTGGTGCTTGCAAACAACCTGATGTAAAGAAGTTATAGTCATGCATCTGGAATGTCTGGCTTTGGTCAGCTTAAATCAGACGTATAATTTTGTAAACTTTTCCAGCATTTAATTCTATATACTTCAGAAAATGGTTTTGTTTAGCTATATGTTCTACTGAACTGCTTTCATTGCTTTACATTAAAACAAATAAACTAATCACCAGAAAAGACTAATCTCCTTGATCTGATTTGCAGGGAATGGTATGGATCACTGAGAATGCAACCTTCCATGTCCCTTATCATGAGAATTTTATATCCTTTTAAAATTCGGTTTCTATTGACTTTGTAACCATCAAGCTAATAGCCCTCTTCCCGCTCAGCCAGGTCTGTGCTTCGAATGGGAAGAACTAGGAGTTAAAGCAGTAGATTAAGGCTGGTATTGATGTTTGCCTTTTCAGATGCGTGTTTATTGCATTTGCACCATAAAAAAAATCAACTAAAATGGCTATGAAAAGAAGATCTTCAAAATGAGCATGAAGCTTGTCAGTCCCTGAGAGTTACCCCCAAATATGTTTTATGTGACTGGGAAAAATCTGTCTCCATCAATGTAAAACAGAGTACACAGGTGTCAGTGAGAATGCATCAATGGTAGGTTGGGTTCACAAGTCCCTTTTTTCTTTTGATTCCTAACTATGTTTGTAAATTTTGTATTTCTCACTAAAACTTTTGTGGTTGGAGTTGTTCATTCATTCTAAAAGTACGAAAGTGGTATTTTCAAAAGTGGGTTAGTCCTGCATTCTATAATTAATGTTTGGATGAGTAATCTCAAAGCCTTGATATTTACTCATTATGCCTTGTGTAATTATCATCACTAATGCCACCTTTGTTTTTAGCCTGAAAAGAATATATGGGTGTAAATTTTTTATGGCCCAGATCTATAGATACTGTACAATAATTTCATACAGATAAGATGCCATTATTATTATTATTAATAGCTCATGGAGATGAGGACCACTCTTCTGTAGATGTCTGGGAGAAAGAAATAGTGTGTTTTGTAACTAAACATTTTAATTTTTTTTTTCCTCTTCGCATGTAGTATTAAATAATAAATTTCTTTGACTAGGAAGAAGCTGAATAACTGAAACCAATAATATCTTGAATTTAATAATATGCATTTTCTTATTTATTCTTTATCTGTTTTCCAATATTATTCAGTGAGCTGAGGAAAAAAATTCTATTAAGTGGAGATAACAGGTCTTAAAATAAAGGTTTTCATTTTCAAGTTGTATAGAACCTTTTTTACAAAGTATTGATATCTTAGTGAAACTTCCTTAATGTCAGCTTGAAGGAAATAAGAATATATTCTTAATATCTTTAAG